TTTTCTTTTTTTTTTCTTCGTTAAGGACCAAGCTTCTTTTCAATTAAAGCAAATCGTTGTGTTTTTGAACTAAGTGTTTCGTGTGTGTGTTTATTTCATTGCGTGATTGCGACCGAGTTTGATTATAGAAATACAACCGGTTCAGAGTTTTACTGCATGCAGTTGATAGTTTGAACGTTAAACATGAATTACGATCGAAAAAATAAAGCAGTTCCGTATCGTGCAGACATTTCCAAACGAGATTTCTCAGTTTGCCACTTGAAAATCGTGTTTTACTTTTTTCATGAATTAAAGCAAAGGTCAAGGAGTAGTGACGTCACTGGACGGCATTAACGGCCGGTCAATTCAGACGTTACTGAGGGAGTAATAACGACTCGAAGTAATCGGATGAAATTCAGGCTATATCGCTTCTGTCGCTTCGCAATTTTTTCCGGTCTTGTGCCGCGATTGTTTTGGTCAGCACCTGTACACATCTTATGTATATATCTTTGGCGCTGAGATACCGGGAAAATGCTGTGATAAATAAAGAACAAACGCAGACAAAGTACTCAGATGTAATTAACTTTCATTCAATTATTGCCGGTTATTGTTGTTTGCTGGATTCACCACTGTATTGTCCAGGCTTGTACAGGCCAGTGCTTTGCTTTTCTCCTTTGGATGACGAGGAGCAAAATAATGGAGTACATCTCCCAGTACTTTTGTGTTCTACCTCTAAATAATTTCGGTGATGAGTTGCGGTGAGTTATTTCATATTGGAGTTTTTACTGGGAAGATAACAGAGGCTACTAAGAATAATAAATTCGCTTTGTTTTAGCTCTCTACTCAGCTCTAGTTACAGTGCAAAATAAAACATTGAAACATACATAGCTCTACATATGATCGTTTTTTATCTTTCGATACTTTTCGATAAAAGTCGATTGAAATCGAACTCTAACGCCAAAAGTCGATCAAAATCGATAATCACAAGAAATTTTGTGATCGACTTTTATCGATTTCCGATATTTGTCGATTAATTAGTATCGACTTTTATCGACAACGATCTATTTTTATCGACTATCGGAATTATCGACATGTTACGTCCTGAGTTAATACATACGCTTAGTAATTGACTACGAAATTTCAAAAAATTGGGAAAACCAGCATTTCCTGAGCTATGGAGAGATCCAAGTACGTTCAGGTTATTAAACATTACCTGCTGAAACAAACCGCCTTCCTCCTGATTTTCTCCAGGAATTAAACAGAAATTTCAGAGCACGACGATTCCGAACGCTGGAGACCGCCATTTTGCTTCCAGTCTAAGTCCTAGACCCTTCGCTGTCAAGATAAGATTACAGGCAGCCCATTCTCACGCACAGGAAAACTACCAGTAAATTGCCGGCGTACGTAACGTAAAAAGGGTTTATATGGGAACAGTAAAATGCACCTACTTTTAAGTTTAAATCGAAAAAGAACAAAATTTTAGGCATGCTTTTGCTAAACTTGGATTGTGGCAATCTGGGCAATCCAGCAAGCCGAAGCGAGGGACTCATTCCACCCCCGCCACACCCACATGGCCATTCAATTTTTTTAATTCCCTCGCGGTCTCCTTGCGATTTAGCTCTAAAACGGACAGTATGCTCACAGGCTGCCTCTGGTTCTCCACTTTTAAAAGGCGTGGGCCGATCATTCTGTCCGCTCAAACCAAGCAGGTTTTAGATACCTGCACCGCGAAATCATCCTACTTGGCTTGTGTGACCACTGTGGTACCTTACCTTGAAAGGACTGAAATGAGACTGTCCAAGTCTTAACGCATCCTCGAAGATAATTGATTATTTTGTTATCCAAAATACTCTGCGACATTGACTACCGGTATTCAGGTTTGGTGGATAAACGGCTCATCTCACCCGAAGTTGCTGTTATCCAATTACGCATGCTTAGCTTGTACCACGAAGCCTTATACATAAGCCGTTTTATCACTTTCAAAACGTGACGTGTACTTGTCGTTTTAAGAATATAACCGCAAAGCTATGTAAGAAAACAGTTTTCAAATAATTAATTTGGGCAACATAGCTGTTGTGAAGATGACTTTCGAGTATGTACTAAACCTATTCTGACGGTACACAGAACGCGGGCAAGTTTCATGCATCGCGTGTCCCTTAACTAACACCAAAGATGGTCGGATATCTTCTATCCCTTTGAAAATTATATGACTGATCTCTCTATATCCCCCTATTCCAATAAAAACAAAGCAGCGATTAACGCGCGCATTTGTTGAAGGAGCGCAAATTTTGCCCATCGAGTCTTCTTTCGAAACTGCAAAAGTATTTGCGTCTATATTTGCTATATCAGTTTCTTGTGGGAGTTCTAAAAACCTCGCGCCTCTTGTGGTGGCGTGGGCCCGAGCAAGTTACTCCTTGCCGAAATCACGGTTTTCACGCTTAAACGTTGGCGAAGAAATGACACAAGTGATCTTAATATGTTTGCAACCTAGGAAATCATTTCAAAGGAGCTTTGTCTGAAAGGATTTTTTCACAACTTTGCAGAATTGGACTGCGTAAGTCGCACCTATTGTTTTTGTTTCCTTGTCACGGTCAATGACTTGGCGTGTCTTAGTGAACTAATAATACCTGAGAAAAATGTGAATAAAAGGCTTAAAACTGTTTTGGTTTTCTGATCGCGTGTCCGTAAATGAAGCTACAATGCAGTGCGACTGTAGACAATCCCTGAAGAAGATATCTCCCATTATAGTCAATATAACATTTAGATAAGGTGGCAGCTTGTGCGAAACACTCTAACAAGAGTTAGATACATAAAGAATGACATTCTGAAAGAGTAAATAAGCAAGATTAAAATAAGAACACTGATTAGATCAGCGATTTGGTAACTGTATAATGTATGATTGAGTGTGACTACGCTTTGTTTCATAACATAAAAAACGAGTGAGAAAATTATCCGCACCAAATAACCAGAGTGATTATTGGCTGACCATCGTCAAAATGTCAAAGTCAACTTTAATTTCATTGCTACGCTCATAAGAGAATTATTTCTTGAGAACAAGTGTTACATCTCTGCTAAAACAATCAAAGCTCTTAGCATTGCTATTGCCGGATTCATCTGCGCGCAGTGCTTGTTCCAGGTTGGCGTGTTATGATCTTTATTTGCTTCTCTTGACACAGAGCACGCAGCGGTGAAATCACCCTCAACACACTTATTTGCGCAAATCAATTAAGCTGCTTCCCTAACTTTTAAACGTTTGTGGTCACCGTGGACCTTTGTTGCGCGCGCTTTATCTGAATACTATCAGCTGCGTCATAAGCCAGTCTTCAGAAAGTTTTAATTGGCCGGTATTAATCCTAACCGATAAGACACAAAACCAAAAACCTCAACGTTTTACACCTGCCGCAACCGCAGGCGAAATTTCTTTCCTAGACTGCCTTGCGCTAAGCAGGACCGCCCAATCACAAGCTCTTGAATACAGACTTTGTGAGCAATTAACGCCCAACAGTGAATTGTTCTCAAGACACCTTTTGCACTTCAAAGCAGTTTTGTATAAACTTGGTGTCCCGAGGGTCAATTAGGGGGATTGTTTATGCGACTAGCCAATCAATTTGCACGTCGCACAAGAGCGATCTAGTATTCATTGTGTGGCGCTGTTAGACCAAACGCGGTGTAGAGGTGATACTTGTTATAAACCAACCGTGTTACTGACTTCTGGAGTTGTCTTCTGACGAAAGTGATCAAGACTCAACGGGAACAAAACCATGAGTCAACGAGCAGAAGACAGTGAAAATCTCTCACCAAAAGCGGCAGCTTTCTCTATCGCCAGCCTACTGACAAAGGATCTTCAAGGAAATTCCAACGCTAGTAAAACAAGAGAGATGAATCCGCCCTTGACAGTTTACACAGAAAGAGAGAATTGTTGGACCGGAAACAAAAATGACCTGTCTGCACACAAGGCGATGAGCTGTGCTCCCACCAAGGAAGAATGCGAGAGCTATTCCATCCAGAGCATTTTAAACGGAGAATACCCCAGAGGCGATAAATACGCTGACGGCAATGTCAAACGAGAAATGGAAAAAAATGGTTCAAACAGCGATCCTCTGCATCAGTTAGCAGCCTGTTGCGATCTGGTTAGAACTATAGACACTTTGAAAGACCCAACTTCACTGTTATCGCCGCAAATGAGAATTTTGGATGTCCAACGCGAAGTACAAGTTGCAATGCAGCAAAGTGATCTTTGGTGGAAATTTTACGCCTGCGGCACAGAAATGGTCATCACTCGCACTGGAAGGTGAGAAAATTTATCATTTAATGTGTTGTATTGAAATTGCTTTATTTAGTAACAGATCATGTTTCGCTACAGCGTAAAGGCAAAAAGTTTTAAGTATGACTTTTAAAAAAGTCACTTCAAATGTTTATGTACCACTTGACATAAAAACAAGATTCTTTATTACATATTGCTTGAGACAACCTTGAAAATTACCCAAATTATTGGAAATGAAAAGTTATTAAATAACTAAGGAATTCCGCCACATTTTACAAAATTTCACACCTTCGAAAATGGCTACGTGTTAAGATTTGTTTTAAAACAGCCCGTAGTATCCTTTCTTGTCAGTTCAACTTGCGTTGCTTTTGAAAAGCAAAATAAGAAAGATTGCGAGCGGACTTAAACATCGGTGGTTTTGGTGTAAATTCCCTAACCGCTCGCGTGAAACAACTTGCTACCTTGAGTTAACAAACTTTACCGGAACTCCAATACTAAGAAACTTCTCCCCACAATATAAAGAAACGATCTTTCTCCCATTCAAATCCAGAGCTGTCACAATTGTCGTCTTTCAAACACAAACTAAAACTAACTCACCAGAGGAATAATTCTTTTCGCATTTAATTCAGCCAACGATTATTTTCGCTGCGGGCAGCTCGGTTTTCTTAATTCGTGTTTCGATAATTGCACAAAACATCCGACCCGGCTAATCCCTCGCCAGAAGTATGAAAAATAATATATCTGTTTAGCTCCTAAGTTATTATCTGTCATTTCTTTTTTGCACTCCGCATATTTACCATTTCGTGACGTCATGTTAAAAGATATTTTTCGTATTCACCCGGGTTTCCGAAAGTGAAGAATGGGGTCGCGTGCCACTGAAGTTTTATGTTCTGTTCTATGATACTCCCATGTGTAACAAACAAAGCAAATCTCTTTTTGCTTTCCTTTAAACTGTTGATTTGCTCTCTCCGCATGTGCCTTTGATACAAGTCAATTTGTTCATCACGATTCAATTGTGTTTAGGCGTGGGGATGAAATTTAGACCAGCAAATAGTACGTTTATTGTGCGCAATTAAGTCTTTTCAACTACTGAGTGTGTGAGAAACTTTTTAACTCTTGCATGGTAAAATGTTGTCTATAACTATGCAATTGAAGGAATCCTTGAACGTGAATTTAGTGCGTCAATGCATAAATAACATTTGCACTTTATCAATACTAAATGATTCTGTTTTCAAAAACCAAAGAAGCGTTTATTAACAATATTCTTTCAAACTATGTTTTGTGTTTAGTGTCAGATAAGGCTTTTAGTAGAGCAACACAAAATACTGTATCATTAATCCACTTTAAACTTTCTTAATCGAGCCTCAGCGTTTTCAAACTGGCTAAGCTGAAGACTTAAGGGTCATCTCTAATACCTGCAATGGAAGCTTTTAAAGATCGAGATAGCTATTATCACTTCCAGGTGTAGTGTTATTAAAATTCAGGCTAGTGACTTTTAATATGCAAAAAAATCCCCAGATATAATGAAGATAAGTATTATTCACATGTGGGCACAAAGAGGTTTTTGATCGCTTATCTTTCCAAGCACTGAAAATGTCCTAAAAGTAATTTAATTGTGTGTCCTCCTTGATCAATCACGCTTACACAAAAGTTTTAGATAATCCCTAAGACCGATACAACAAACATAATGCCCCGAGGGATGGAAAGATTTCAAGTATAGAGCTCTATGCCTGGTTTATTAGATTATTAGATTGTTTTTGTTTGGGTATAGGAAAAGAGCTCTTGCTTAGACTGGGGGTATTTGTTAGTGCTTGTAAGGGATTTAGAAGGAGCTTAAAAAGATGTGGTGGATTCTCTTCGCTGGCGAGAGTTTTATTGGCAGATAAAACTTTATTTATAAATGAGAACGGCATGTTTTTCTTGTTGGCTAATACAGAACTGGATATTTTCTAGTACCGTTAACAGCTATAACACCATGGCCAGCAACACAGAGCGGGGATGTTTCTTTCAGCTTCTTCGTTTTGAAAAGCCAGTGTTTTTTTGATGAAAAGCTCTGCTGTTCATATCCTCACTCTGCTATAAAATTCGTCGCAGCGAAGGAGGAGAAAAAGCGCAGATAGCAACAAAACCACAAAGGCAGATAGGCATATGGAGCCAGTAAAGTAAACAACCACTTAAGGATTTAGCGCAGATTGTGTTTAGCACGTGCCCCGCTTTTTATGGGTGTGTCTCATTGTTTGTGACTCTTAAAATAATGCACGATGTTTTTTCCTTCCGCTAATGAGAGGAGAGATCATTTGAAACAGATGACATTAGGCACCTAGCATGTGCCCCGCAGATTACTTTCAGTTCAAACCTCTGAGTTTTGCATTCTCTGTAATTCAAACCCGGAATCGTTTAAGCCCTACTACGGGTCACGCATAAATAACCAAAGGACTGGGGTGCTTACCCCTTCAAAGAAAAGTCGCAACAGCTTCTTAAGTCCACTCACATTGAACAGCTTCTAACAGCTCGTAGTGCCCAGACAATGACAGAAAACTTTCATCACGAAAGCGCATGTGAAGAGATCTTTCACCTGCTACTGATGTAGCTATTGCGGTGAGTACAGTCTAAATGATTATTAAGCAGCAATCCTAGCCGGGGTACCTGACACTTTATCTATTTACTTTAACTTATCTGATGCTAAAATGATTGATTTCTTGCAGGAGAATGTTCCCAACTCTTGCTCTGTCCTTCCTTGGCATGGACCCGAGACGATACTACTCCGTACATGTCGATATCGTTCCCGTCGACGGCTACGCTTACACCTTTGTCAACAATATATGGCAAGTGAACGGAATGGCCAGCGAAATGCACGCGTTGCCGTACATACAGTCCTACCAAGCGGATGAGGTGGCGCATACTGGCCTGTACTGGATGAAAAACGGCGTCGACTTTAAGAAGGTTCGACTCACAAACCGAAGAGTTGGTCCATTCAAAGATGGCGAGGTAATGCAATTTCGTAATTACATCCGAAAAGGATACTATACTTAAAGAAAGTTCAAGTTTTAATTAATCTCGAACGGAATCTTTTGTATTTCGATATTTCCAACTTATTTTAAAATTCACGTGGTTTTCGTATCTGAAACTGAAGATAAAAATGGCGTTTTTATGAACGCTTCGCCCCGTTTTCATCAAAGACGAAAACACAAAGAATGACGGGAACGAATTTCAGTACGCATGTGTTGTGAAAAGCCGAAATATCAGAGAAACTAAACGCACTAAAATACTCTAACATTTTTAGCTGTTTTCATCTACATAAACCAACATATCGAGTCGATCAAAGGTTTCTCAGTTACTGTGGCATAAATTCTCGGTCTACATAAAGCCGCAGGAGATGTCATGGGGTATTAAGAGACTTTTTTGCCATAGCGAATTGGCAAATTTTGTAATTTTCCAATTGACCGAGCTCATTACTTATTCATAAATCGCTCTCTTTGTCTCTGGTCCGCGACCTCGTGTTTAATTTTGAGTTGTTCGTATTTTGTTACAATTTTATGAACGATTTAAGATATTACTTAGCCAACGTAAGCCGTCGATTAGGATAAAAGGTTTTAAAGAGATATTCAATAAATCAAAAGAAAGCAAACGTGATACTAAACTGGAAAACCTCAAATTATAAACTTTGTTCATGAAGAAACTAACAATGCAAATTTGCGAAAGCGACTCACGGCTCGCCAAAACGAACTACGAAGGGAAATAATCTAATCTGAAGTAAACTGTTTTGGTGAATTTACACTAAAAGGAAAAGTTTTTATGTGCCCGCCAGAACTTATATATTATATATCTATTCATTTTTTTAGTACGAGACGAAAGCTTCATCTATTATTTTATGTACTTGTCCGGGGTGTTCGCATATCACTGCAATCAGAATTACTATTTTAAAAGGGGTTCGAAACCAAATAATAAACGTTTTGAACGCTTTTAATCTTAATGTGTATTTTAATTACGATTGACAGCTTCACCTTAGTCCAAACAGAAAATACCAACCGAGGATTCACGTTGTAGAGGAAACTGAAGAAGGCGCAAAGGTTTCCTGCTCAACATACGTGTTTCCCGAAACAACATTCATTGCTGTAACAACGTATCAAAACGAAGAGGTATGAATTCTATAAAACTGTGTCCATTTTTAAGACCAGCATTAAACTTTAAATATTCACTTTTATTTCCAGAGTAATTTAATCAACTAATATTCTTCAATTTTAGAGTTCCCTGAGCTTAACGTTTAAAGCTTTCTTACGTTTACTTGAACTGATGCTACAAAGTAACCAACTATAATTATCTATTTGCGAATGAGAACTGGTCCCTGAAAAGAGTCTTTATGATTTTAGATCAACATGATATAACAACAATAGGTGGCTACTTTTGACGAAGTATTTTAGTAGAGAAATAAAGCATAGGTATCTATGGAATGGATAAAAATGTCAAATTAGAAATAGTTCAATTTTTTTCCTTAAAGATCCATGCAGTTTTCTACAAAACTGATCCTTATTTGACACACTTAAGATTGTTTGTTTGTTGTTTTTTCAGTTGATTCAGATGAAAATTGACCATAATCCTTTTGCTAAAGGATTTCGCGACAAAGGATCTAGGTACGTAAACATTAAATTTTTTATGATTTTTTTTCAAAGATAAATAACTATTATCCGCAACCAGCTGATTATTCGATCGGTTTGCGACTTTCTCGTTATTCATATCATTATCGTATCACTCAGCAAAAAGTCGCGAAAATCTGACAAAACGGGCAAAATTTGTTTTATTTTATCTACTGAGCAACATTTACATGCGAGATAAAAACGGTAATAAGAAAAAGCTTTTTATCTTAAAAGTGAATCGCAAGCGATAACAATTATTGGACAAAGATTCGATACATGAGTGTATTTTGAAACAATACACAAAAAATACACACCGCCAGTAAATTAGCCAAATGCGTCAGATTTCATGTCACGCCCGTTTTATAAAGCGAAATACGATTTTTGTACGATTTTCAACTCTAATCCATTGAAAACTGAGTTACCATTGAATCAAACCAAAACAGTTTAAATTTTGGTACTGATTGTAATATTCGCCATTCTGAAGAAGGGGTTTTTCAGAGGCTTTACTTGTTCAGGTTATCATTTTGGAAAGTCGGTACAATTTCAAAACTAGAACGGCAAAAATGATCTAAAAAGTTATTTTTTCTCTTCAGCACTAAAATCATTTCACAAAGGATTTGGTCTGTTTGCTTGCAATTTAGGCAACAATTAGCTTATCTAGCATTCAGATAAGCCTTCACAAATGAAAAAAGAAAATCATGTAACATTCATTATTAGCCTAAAGAAAACGCAAATAGGTTCAAGGAACCACTTTCATCCTTTTGATTCCTTTGTCATTCATGCATTTGATCGTGCTTTTCTAAGTTTAAAACTCTTTTAAATCAATTAAACAGCGTTTTTTGAATCATACCGTCGATTCGAAGAAGGAAAACCGAAAAGATATATTATTAAGAAATCACATAAAGCTGTGATATATAATAAAATTAACTGAAAGCATGCACTTGATCATGTTAAGTAGTAGCATCTCATCGCACTTGCAATGTGCTGCCTTTGATAGTCTTAATAATATATGTCAGTTGCTGCGACGAACCTTAGAAAGGCGCGGACTCTTCGTAGCCTAACTTTTAATCCGGGTGTTGTGAAACATGTTTTTCCTTTGTTAAAATTACATGTAATTAATTTTCCTTAAAAAACTGTTTTATTTTATCTGTATCATGACATATAGTTCGTTCGCGTTTCTAACTTTTATGTATCTGTAAAACTAAAATTTTCTAAATTAGCATAATTGACTTTTACACTAACAATATGAAACGAAGTAGCGATAAAACACAATGATAGAAAAGTTCAAGCATTGTAACTCTCATAGGTTTTTTTATTGTCAAAAACCATACAATGAAAGTTAAGAGTTCACTGTTAAGGGTAAGAAAGTTAAACGCCTTAAAGGACGGTATACATTGTACTAGATATCCCTCAAAAATCTTTTTTGCATTTTACAATGCATGTCCGTGGATAGAACCCATTTTTACCACAGCCACGTGGTGAGCAGCTAGTGTTGCAGAAGTAGAACGGAAATAAGAGTCGGGTTTTTTTGAAATAATCTGAAAAGGCTGCCTATTATGGCAATCTAGTCCTGTTTGTTAAATGTGAACCAGTACAGGCTACAATCATCGCTCTGCTCCCAGGCTTAATTATGTACATGTTCAACTGAGGACCCATTTACAAATTCAAACACTGCTTCTGAAATCATCTTGTGCTGAGTTAAGTTAAGGCATGAAGAGCGGCGTTCGCGGAATCTTTTTTTTTTTTGTCTTTTTTTTTTTCAGTTTCTTGAGTTTTGTATGACGAGCAACTATTGGCAGAGGCCATCGCATTTATTATCTAAAACTGGAGCGGCAGTTTATTCAAACGGCGATTATATGTGCCTCGAGATGGCTCGTATTGAGCCATATCTTCACATATCTCATATTTCCCAAACTTCAAACTGATATCTTTTGACTGATTTCTTTGAGTTTCCTTCCGTTTTTTATCGTTTTAATGAGCAGAATCGTCGCTTTGCATTCGACCCCAGGAAAAGTGCATGAATTTATCAACTTAGGCTTGAGCGTAGAATGCGCTGCATTTGAATCGTTAAAGTTCATTAAATCACCTCGTGGAGTACAAAGACCAATCCTGTTAGCAAAGAGGACTTTGTCAAGTTTATACAGAGGACTGGAAGTAAAGTCGGACACAGACAAATGTTCACTTGTCATTCACGCAGCTGTATAACAACATAACTTATGGATATTTTTCGGGGGAGTCCAAAAAGGCCGTTTTCTGGCTCCGTTATTTAGATTACACTCTTCAGTCTTCTTGACCGTGTTTGATATTAATCTTACCTTGGATAAATTTTACAAACACTTCTTGGCGGAAGTGACATAGTTTTCATTCTTGAGCTTCCAATTGATAATTCGTGGTCTTTCACAGACTGACTCTATTTATTTCAAGGGTTCTTCAGGTCAATAACAGTCTTCGCTCTTCAGACACAAAGCCAGCTAATTAATGATCTATGTTTTTTTCATAGAGATGATCATATTGCCTAATTCGATCTTTTATTCCATCTCAAAAATATGCCCTTAGGTACTTTTTTTGTATGTCAGCCGTTTTGATTATATCTTAATATCTTAGAAATATAAATCTAGTTTTCTTAGTTAACTATGTTTTTGTGTATTCTATATGGATTTAGAGTACATGGTTATCGTTATAGTCTGAAAGCATACCTACAAAAGACCTTATTCGGGAACATTCATCGTCCTTCATCGTATTCAGCTTTTCACATATTGAAATTTTACAACCCCTACCACGTGGACAATTGTCCAGAACTAACGTGCGTGGAAACGTATAACTCTAAAAGAATAGAGATTTACATTTTTGTGGCTTCTTGCGCAACTGAACTCTTGAATACGACCGTAGCTGGAGTGAAATTGAAAGAATGACACCGGCGGTCAGATATACTTGGTATAAGTGTTCTAAGAGGTTTCTAGACCTTATTAGCAGCAGATATCTTTCTGGAAAATCAAATTAAGCGCCATACTTCTTTTATTCCACTATCGGATGGACACTTAAGCCTTCATCAGCATTTTCTTTTAATAACATGCGCGTGTTTTATACAAAATGAATTCACATATGAGAAAAAAACTCATTCAATATTGGTATAAATATCTTTTCGATCTTATAATCAGGTAATTAATTTTGTGGCCTTTTATGGCGCCAATCAGATACTCAACATAAATGAGATATTTTTCAATTATTCTCTTAAGCATGTCGATATTAAGAAATATACAAGATCAGGTCTTGTTAACATGCATGTTAAGTTTAAAGTTAGTGCCATTTAGACATTCCAGCTTATAGTTACTCAATTACTATGAAAGTTTTAACAAAACATTTCTTTTGTTGTCGCCGCGTGTCGCGTGCCGGGCACACGCCATTACTATTTTACCTTCCTTAAAAGAACAAAAGAGATCAAAATCAAAATGCTTTCCTTTTTAGAAAATAGAAATGTGCTCTTAAATGAGAGATTAAAGCACGAAACAAGCAAAGAAACTCAATACGTGACATCGGCTAATAGCATTGTTGCGCCACTTTCAGTTATTAAGATATCAACTAGTTTTCGGACTAAAAATATACCTGCATGTTACTGTCATCTGTAGGTCTGAAAAGAATATTGGAGGTTATTATCATGAGCAAATTTAATTCTCTTTTCCAATTAACAAGGAGTTAAATTTAGAGTGAAATGAGTATCCTAGTAGCTTTTCATTGATTTCTCTCATGTCGCGTGCCACACTATTGAAGGAACCAATGAACGACTGAGTTCTTTGCAATTAATAACGTATCCGATTCCAGAATGTTTAAGAAATCTACTTCCTCTTTTTTAAAGCGGATTAATTAACTTAACCACTAAGTAACAAATAGAGACGAATAGATAAATTTATGGTGGCATCAAGTAAAAACAGGATAATATGTAATGAACATAAAACAGATTGAGAATATTAACAGTTTGAAGGTCTTTTCAAAAACTATTTTTTGACGTAATACTAACCTCAGGGGGACCACATTAATTGGATTCGAGCTAGTCAAAATTTTACAAATTCTACCTATGTATCACTTCTATAACAGAAAATCTGCTGTGCTTTCAGTTACTTAAATTACACAGCCCAGCTTGGATACTTTATTTCAGTTTCAAAATTTGCTGGTTTAACAGGATAGTAACATATCCAGGATCGTTAAATTTGGAACAGGAGTGCATAATTATCTTTTTTCAATTGCAATATATCAGTTCGAACTTAACCAATGGGGCCACCCAATGGTACGTTTTAAACACTGATAAAGTTTGTTTTTAGAACATCCAGTCTTTTGAAACCTCTTTTGGTTAGATTTTTCTCGATCTTTCAACATTCAAAAAGGTTTTTAATTATTTCGTTCAATTCTCGACCTGTCCAGAGTTGCTGACCAAATGACGTCACCTTTTCAGTGGGGAAACATGTGGTGGTATATTCACCTCCTCAGTTAAATTAACTTACAGGAGTGTGGAGAAAAAACTCAAAGATTAAGGTCACCAAAGGGTTCAATAGATTTTTGCACTGGTTTTTTATTTTTTATTTTTTTATTTAATGGCACTGGAAGAGATTCTTACTGAGTTAACAAATTTTGGTAGTTCCCTAATACCTTTGGGTAAATTTATACAGACTGAAGAAAGACAAAATTTCGAATGATTGCCTTAGAATTTAAAGAACCTACCGAAAACCAACAAAGGCATCAGTTTATCGTGTCCCGAATGTCAGGCGTTGTCTTTGTTGCGATTCGCGTTGTAAAAGGCAATTTTCCAATCAAGTCGTTGGTTTTTCATGTTATCTGCATGGGGTACTACGATGAATCGAACTCACTTAAAACACGCGCCTTGATTCTAATGAAAACATGCAATTAAAACTAATAGTAAAAATAATGAACTTTAAAAAGGAAAGCTACTGTAGCTACTTGTACACTGAACATGTCCAGTCGTAGGCCAGTTGACATAACATTGCTACATCACAGAAGAGTGTGGACTTGCTGTTTTATTTCAAAAGTTGCACCGGTGTTGAATTGAGTTCGTTTTTCACCGAGATACGTGTTTTGTTTTTTTGCTAACACTTTCTTCGAATTCAGTTATAGAAAAAGTACACCACGTTTAATCTTGAGGGATATTTTGTTTCTGTTTGTTTACCCTCGTGTCGCGTGCCACTAAAACAACTAATTAACGTTAATCTGAAGTAGAATACTTCTCAGCGAGAGTCCTACCGGAGTAAATATCGCTATTGTAGTAGAAGCGTGCACCGTGTTTGAGCGTCAAGCTGAGCCACTGTTGTGTATTAATCGGAAAACATTTTGGCATGTGGTAATGGCTCCCTTAGCACGTGTAAGACGGTTTCATGAGAATCAAGTGTTACTTCGAAATTTTCTTGTTGCAACACCATCAAAGCGATTTACATTAGATATTATTTGCGAGGAACAAAGGAGATGAATAACTGAGCATATGATACCTAACCCTTGCAATGTGATGGAGGTATATTCAGGGTGTGTTGAAAAGGCACAGACAACTAGATTTAACTCCAACAAATTATAACTTTTTAAACTGATGTAACATTCCAACTTACTTATCCTGGCCTGCCTCCTTAGTAAAGCACTTGTTGATTCTTTCTGTCTACCGAAGCAACTCCTCGAAGCTAATGAACTAAAATTACATTCCTATAGGATCATCTGGTTAATTACAGATTGCAATATCATAAAGAAAGTTTTGCAATCGCCATTCAAATCGGAGATGCAAAAATAAAATATACATTTTTTTTTCTTACAGACGAAGGTACGCCCCTTACGAACAGCGAGCGGATATCCACGATAGTTCCCAGACTTCCCTGAACAGACTTTGCTTCTCGTCATCAAGACATTTGGACAGAACAGCGGACTCCACACAAGTCACTGTGCCCATGCATTTAAAACTAAACAATCTATCTCAATATTGAGAAAGGGACAGTAACAGACAAGGCTCAGCGAAAACAGAAACTGCAATTAGTTGATGATGAATATGAACTGTAACTTGTGATTCAAGTTGAAAATGAAATTTCAGTTGTATAACTGGAACAAGTCAGAATTAGGGATTTTGACACAATCACCAAAAAAATTCTAAAATCACAGAACGCTACATGCAAGTTTTGTTGACTTAAAGATGTAAATAGACCTATTTATGTAGCTGGTTATACGGTTTGCAGACTATGTGCAGTAAACTTTTTTGTGCAAGTTTGTGTCCATTAGTTATTAGTGTTATTTTCGCCTGCGAGCAAGCTGTCCATTTGGAGAAGTCGCGAGAAGTCACGTAGGCTCGCACGTTCGTTAGCCGTAAACGATTAGTGTTATGGTACATTACATTTAATTACCAAAACATCGTTGACGCAGAAATTAACACCCTTCAACCGTCGGTGGATATATCAAACAGGGGAAGGTGGAGCGGGGGGGCGGGGTTGGAAATCGAGAAAGCGCTTGGGTAGCGCCTCCAGGAGGGGACCGGAAGTACACATTAAACAGAAGTTTGCATTCTTCTTACTGATTTCTGGAGTCTTTAAATGCCTGTCTCTCGTTCAATATTGGCCCGGTAAATCTCGATTATCTGGGTCTCGAGTTGTTCATCCCATAATACAGGAAATCATACTCAGACCCCTTCGGTTTGAAAATAGGCATAAGCGCTCAGGCTTCGACGGGGGACAAAATGATAGGTGTCTCCTCAACTCAATAATTATAAATACTTCATGCTCAATACTGTATTCACACTATTATTTCTTTTAATCGATTCCTTATCGATGAAAGGTGTTTGGTTACAAAGCTAAAGAAGTTGCTAGACATTTTAATCTCTTCTGAGAGGAAAGGCTTCTTCTGTCACGCCATCCTTTGTGATAACGCTAATGATCACTGCGTCACCAGTGTAAATATCACGCTCAGCAGCAGCAGTGAAAACATCTTTCACCAGGAACACTGCTTTGTCTTTTGTTAACGGCACTTCCGTTACTCCTTGCTGGTTCTTAAATCCAATCTAAAACAAAGCAATTTCAGACTTGTTCTCAGATTACAGGATCATTACTAAAAGTCAATAAATTTGTTTATAGGCAATTTGTTTGATGCGGTGTTTCTATACAGCTACAGAATCCTTCAAACGATTGTTTCTCGTTTAAATCAAGGCTTTTCTAATGTTTTTGTGAACACCATCTCTTACCAGTTCCCTTTCTGGGATCATGTAGGAAGTCAAGTGATTGATCCCATTGTAACGGTTTTTTTTTCGGCATGATTTCCTTTTGCCTCGCTGACATTGCAAGCCAACTAAGCGAATGTCAGCCACGCGAACGACTTCGTAAATGGTAAACACCACACCGGAAATAAATCTCTGCTATCAGAATACAGGTACATGAACTCTTCATAGAAAAGAACCTAGTGGCTTTCAGTTAGAGAGTAACCACACGGATCTTGATCTCAAGAATGAAAACCTAGGTCGAAATTAGCTAGCGCAAGAGCTGTTCTGCATGCATTTGAAATCACCGCTGAAACTATGTTGCTGAAAAGCAGTAAAATCCTGTGTTCTGATTGATCTAGCGGAATTGTGTATAGGGTGCTCACCACCACCCCCCCTCTTCCTGGGAGATGAAGACCAAAACGACACTTTTACAGCATTGCATTAACACTGTGCAGTCTGCTTCACAGTTATACAAAATCTGCTGTATCATTTGAAACGTATTTTCAGCAGTTCATATTATGTTATTTCCTAGTCAAAAGCCTTCGTCTTTGTATTCGCTTTTGAAATTTGCTTACGTCACCAGTGAGCTATGCTATTCCTTCGTGGTGCACACCCCCCCCCCCCCCCCCTAAGAAAAATCCTGGATCCACCCCTGTGACCTAACGCTTGGTCATTAACATGTCTGTGTGAAACCACAGTGTAAGAAGTTTAGCATACCTGATTATCAAGGAGTGGCTGAAGAAGAGCTGATGCTGAGCCTCCAGCTCTGTATGTCTCTCTTTCATATGATCCTACTGGATCAAAGCTGTACACACATCCTTTACCTAATGACAGCAAAATCAGACAATAGTCCGTAGAGTGTTTTTCAATAAGCATCATACCAAAGGGTCTCAATTAAATAAATGAATAGATAGCTGATTCAATAAAGGTTGCTTTGGGCATTGGCAATTGGCAAATGGCCATTTGGGCATAAGGAACAATGCAATGTGATGCCTGAGTAAACCATCAAACAATAGCCTCCTAGTGACCAATTTCCAATGCCCATAGAAACCTTCATCAATTGAATCAGCTATAAATGCTTGGGTATTGCAGCAGAACGTTACCTTCATTGTCTATTCCAGCCAAGATATTGTATGTATAGTAGGGAAAAAATCGACGGTAGTACAAAACTGTAGACAACATCTGGGCAATAGCTGGAGAGCTAGGGAGGAGAAAGTAAAGTTAATACCATAAAACACAATCGATGTCCTTTATATTTTTACCATACAGAAGATAAAAGAACAAAAGTAAACAAATAAGGTGGAAAAATGCAAGATCTTCAATATAATGATATAAAAAGGGCTGCATGCAGGGACAGCAGAGCCGGGGGTACTAAAGCACCCCCAATTTCAAGCAAAAAATAAAAATTTAAAATTAAATAAAATTAAAAATAATTAAAAAACCCATAAAACATAAAAAAAGAAAACTAACAGAAGGGAAAACAAAACAAAAGGAGCAAAGCATTAAGGCAAACAGATTGAAGTAAATTAATAAATCAGTTAGTAAAAACAATCAGTGGTACATAGCAAAAATGCATTTCTGAGCTTGAAGATTTCAAAATTTTCTGGCAGAGAATTCCCCAGAACCCCCTACAAGTCAGTGTCTCCGGCACTTGCTTGTTAGCCCCCCCAATACAAAATACGCTCTGCCGTCCCTGACATGTACACTATATTATGCTCCCTACATTGCACCTCATGTTTAGATAGATAGCAGCTAGTCACATTCTGTGACTTCAGCTTTTGAGAAGCTCTGAGAAGATTCTGCCAATTGTTATGAAAGAAGTCTTTTGAATATGAGCAATACTTAGAATTCGGAAGTGTTTCCAGTGTCCTTTTATCCGTCAGGAATAAAAACCTTATCATACTTCTAAACAAAACCTTTCTCCTGATCATGAAAAAAACTTTTTTTGTATCTACGTCTTTTCCGTGACAGTGGTCGCCTGTGTAATATGGGTGCAAAAAAGAACAGCGCCTTATAGGTAATGGAGCGATTTTCGGGCAGGAAGATTTTTCAGCCGAAGGTTCGCTTATCCAACCAAAACCCATGCATGTTTGTATCTGTTCGACAAACCAATCAAATTGCTCTATTTCTGTTTGTTTGTTGTTTCTGTTGTTCGCGCGTTTTCATTTCAAGGTCATACAAAAATCACTCTATCACTTTCAAATGCCTGCTATGCAGACTACACCAGGGCAGCCCAGTAATTTTTAATTTTATTATTTTATGCTTGCCAGCTTACCTCATTTTGCTTCCATGTTCATGTTCATACATCTAAAATGAATGCATAAAAATGGAACTAAATGACACTGTTCAACAATTCACAAACATCAAGAATTGCCAGTTACATGCCGTCACAAGTGATCACACAAATAACAGTCCTGGAGCGACAATTCAGATTCATCAACAGTACGCTTTTTACTGCATATTCAACCTCTGTTAATCGACCATGCATGAAAGACTATAGAGCCCCTAACGGATTACTCAGTGAGAGCGAATTAATAACATCAATCATAGTTGGCCAATTAAATCAAATGGTCGCGAAGAAAAGAGCTTCTGCAGAAACATCATTAAAATGCAGGGCTCAAAACAATGGCTGGCTTATGGACAAAAGTTCCGGACAAAAGTTCTGCTTGCCAGTCACTTTGAATGCACCTGTACATAAGGGACCAAAAATAAACTTTTTTTATAAGTCCACTGCATTTCAAGAGGACAAGCATCCATTTCACAGGAATTATGGTACAAATTGGACCTATTTGTCAAGTTTTGGCATCTCAGTTATTGGTAAAGCCCCCTAAATAGCTGTATTCCTCAGCATAGTACCATGAAAACAAGCAGGGCTGCTTTTTATTACACTTTTATCAACTTCTTGACTTGTTACACCTGTGTATCAAGTTTCTTCAAAAACCAATGTTAGGTTCTTTTACAACACCTTACGATAAGTATAGAATCCTTAGAGTTTGCAAGGAGTACCTGGAGTCTTGCTGTTATGAGTTTGGTTAGAGTGAGGCAATCACCATGGAAACCGGCACATCCCAGTACTGTGGAGTTTGTTCTAAATAAAATAATAAAGGGCCATCAATATTACACAATCAAAAAGTAGAGGGATACCTGGAATTAGACCCCAAGTGATGCCTAACCTAATATCAAATTTTAATATTTCTCTTTTTGATTCATAAGCGTACACGCTGTGGCTCAATTTTATCCTTGGTCTAAATTTCATTTTCCTTATTTTCAAACTCATTCATTATACATTACCATGACCACAAACATTATGGTTATTCATTATAACACTAGTTATGACACCAATGTCAAGGCTTTAATCAACAAAGTTGGCCTTTAAAGGGACACAGTCAGCTGTGGGACCGCGCTGACCTGGACACTACTTTTGTCAGTTTGAAAAGTGTTTACCTCGACCCGAAATCAAATGTGCGCATTGGATACATCTAGAAATCCGCTTCAATTTGCCTAGTGTTTCATTTGATCCTCGATCTTTTACAGAAAACCTCTTTTTAAGCTGACGTTTACTGATCCTATGACATTATTTTATCATATTTGGTTAAAAACAGTATCCAAAGGAACATGAACAGAAGAGGTGAGAAACATGTAGGCTCTGGGCGGGAGGAATCGCCTTCCTTTACCAAATAAAATTCTGTACTAGCTCTATGAAAAAAGTTTCAGCCTTTCTGGTGCATTTCTTTGGAATAACCTTTGTGTTAAGTTTGACAAGGACACCCTATTGGAGTCTTCAGGGTTGACTACAATCTTTTCTTCTGAAAATCTATCAACCCTGACACTCATGTAAAGCAGGCTAAGAGTTTTAAAATAGTCCAGTTTTGAATTAAAAATTACTGCTTAATACAAACATTAGCGACGCATTTATACAGGGTTAGCCTCGACGTAAAGTAGAGTATTCACAAATTCCAGCAAGTAAGTGTTTGAAATTTGAAAATACACAACAGACAGAGTAATGAACAGGTCTTCTTCTTATTGGAATTTGTAAATATATTACTTCAGATGGAGGCTAAGCCAGTAAAAAATGCGTCTTCACTTATTTTATTCAGCAGTCATAGCAAACTTGAAAGTGGACTACTACCAATAAGTTGTCAAAAGTGTAGTTTAGCAATTTTCATAAGCTTTTTAAGTCTCAACAATTTAGCTGTGTTTAGAAAAATTATTCAATCATCCATTCACTCAAGTTCCAGAAAAAAAATTGGTCAAAATTGTTGACTTACCGTTGGATTTTCTTGGATTATGATCATTTGCACTCCTCAAAAACTGACTTTTTAAAATTCTAATTTTTTCAAGAATTATATCTGAAAAACCATTAGGGTTATAGCTGTTCTCATAAATAAATAGCATTATTGTACTACTTTCAGTTAAACCGGGCATGCAATTCATATAAACTTTTAAAACGTTTTACTCACAGTTTGTAAGTCTTTGGACTGTCTCTAGTGTGAATGGAGAATCCCTGGCTTAATCGCGTATCAGCAGCAATGACTGAGAAGTCTTCCCCCGCAATTGCAAGAATAGTTCTATAGCCAAGAAATGAAGGTGGTAACATCAATATACATGCATGTACAGTAAAACTGCTGAAAATAATAATAATAATAATAATAATAAATAATAAAATGTGTAAAATCTAGTTTTTCCACTACCCATCTTCCCTCCCATCCATCTAACCCTATGATTGTAAGATTTGTAACTGTGCTTTGCAAATATTTTCCATGGGAGTCCGAGAAAATGATTGTCAAATTTCACAAGAATTGTGAAAACACAGGTAAAATTCTGAAAATTTCATGTGTAAGATGTCATTTTCTGAAATTTGATATTTATTTTCTCGGGCTCCCATGAAAAATTTTCTTTGGTGTTATTACAGATAACTAATCACATCTATAGCCCTTGAAAAATGTCAAAAAGAATGTGATGTTGTTTAAATTATTCTGGTACAAGGTTTTTGTCCACTGAAAATTAAAATTACTCAATATCCTGATGGATTCCATCTTAACTTAATGCATAGAATGAAAAATGATATACCATAAAAACTGCCGCGTAAGCTTCACCTCTTTGGTTAGATTTTAGGCTAAAAAATCAAAGATACTTCTTATATACGAAACAATCTCTTCTGGTTGATGAGAAGTAAAGCAGCTCAAACACAGTAATCCACTTCAAGGTGATAACCATTCACCATATGTTGTCTACGTTGCACATTTCCCATGACTATCCATTTGAACGTTTTTTTTTTAAGAGAAAACTTTACAAAGCATTTGACAAACCAGTTGAGTGGTTTAATATCTCTCTTGTTTGTAACCTAGAAACATCCTTTCGAACACATTTGATGTCTTTTTGTTAATATTAGAAGCATCCACTCAAAGAATTGTGACATCCTTAAAGATCAAGTGTAGAATATAAATCCTCAACAGATGTTAGCTAATATTTGCAAATATTTGAAAGTGCAGCTAAACGTACAAAACTTTAAAAGGTGGAAAAGACTAATAGGATCTTGTTAAAGAATGAAAATTTTAAAAAAATGCTCCAATGCTTTGCATATTATATCATTTTGCGTTGTTGGTTTTGTCTGTGAAACTCAATCCTCTTTAAGTATTTTGTTACCTAACATGTGACAGAAAAGTCTGCTCCAAAATTTTACTACACAAAGAATAAATTTCAGTGTTCTTTTCAGGCAAAGAAGTTGACTCGGCGACAATTCTGTTTTATAATCAATGTGATTTCTAGCTCTTCGTCAAGCCTCGATTTTCATGATTAGGGTAGAAGATGTGTTTCTTGAAAATTTAAGCTTATACTCTCCTTGATTTTTTTCCACCGTACTTGTCATACTTGGTCATTGATGAACGACAACTGACCTTTACTTGTCTATTTTTTTCTCACCATAACAACATGATATGCATATAAATGAATGTTCAATTATTGTAAGTTTTGCAGGACCCTCTGGAAAAATTATTCCACATAGACACCCCCTACCGTTCGAAAATTTCCACTTTTTAGCCCCCCACCCCCTCGGAAATTCCATTGACCATCCGTGGGGGAGGTATGGATGTATTCTGGAATGACACATTTAAGTAAAATCAGAAGGATATAACCCTCAAGCATATAACTCTGTTCCAATGCTTGGGTTTTTTGGAGAACCAATCAAAATTTACTTCCAAATATGGAATCACTGGTACGTGAGACTTTGCCTTGCGATGTAAATGAAGCGCTACAAAGAGCAATTACAGTTTTACGAAGTGAAATTCAACCAAAATCGGAATTTGAAATAGCCAGGATTAAAGGCGTATCTTTAGAGTAAGGTTGCGATTGAATCATGTTGTATCATGCTTGGAATAGACTAGTAACGGCCACCAATTCACCCTTACACACCAAGAAATATCAACGAGAAGCCTGACTGTGGAACAGACTTGAATGTTTTAGAAAAACTGTGCGACGGTAAAACAAATACATAGCTATGGCTAGACAAAGAATTTTTAAGACTAGACCACAGCACATGTTGGAATCTTTTGCTGACTCATGTACAACAATGTCACAAAAAATAACATGTTACTCAATCTTCACTTACCCTCCATTAAAGGTGTAAGGACTAAAACCGTGCTGAGCAGGTCCTAAACTGTTTACAGCTTCTACTCCTTGCATAATAAAAATATAACGTTCAAAACTTTGGCAAAACTCTTTAAAGACAGTATGAAATGTTTTAACTTGCGCAGGTAAGTACTACGTGTATGTGTCCCATATTTTCACCTGTTGTATCCCATAATACCCCTTGGGTAAGTAATTGGTCAGCGGTTTTTGCCGCCATTTTGATTTTCTGAAAGCTTTTCAAGATGGTGAGCGTTGAACATACGTATTTTCGTTCATATTTCGTGGTTCTCTTGCAATATCGATGCAAACTTATGCTTGTAACCATCTTTTCTAGCTATTCTACTCGTTTTTCAAGTCCCTGGTTGGAAAAGAAGTTATTGTAGAACTGAAAAATGACCTCAGGTATGGTAAACAAAGTTTCGCTAATTAAACTTAAGCTTGCCTGTAATTTATATGTATATAGCACCCAAGTTAACTCGTAAATCTATATAGTTCTCGAGAGCGTTGTTACCTAGTAGGTAGCAAGTGTGCAGCATGCAATCAATGATGCACAAAAGCACTAAAGCATGCGCGGGGTTGTGGTACTTATGGTTTTTGTGTACGTTATGCACATGTCATCGGCTTCCCCGTGTGGTAGGACCCCAATAGCAATTGTCTTTCTGTAGCCATAGTCACCATTCTGTTTGACTCCATTCTCAAACATGCCATGTGCTAATTTATTCCCAATTCTCAACAGGGACATCTCCATTGTCCTATCTGTGGAAAGGTGGCAGCTCTAAAACATGCATTCCCCTTTAGAGTTCCCAATACTTATTGGCTGAGGAAAGTGATGTATTCCCGTTGCATCTCCTTGGATTGCGTTCTGAATTCCCACACCCCTTTCCTTTGAATTTTCCTCTCCCCTAGGGCAGAGAAACCAATCCATCTCCTTGTTCTCCCCTGGTTAGTCTGGGGTCTTACCCCAGGGGGGAAGCCAACGACAGGTGCATTAGGGTCACAAAAATTTTACCAAGGCTTCGCTCTAAGAAAAATATTGAAGGGAGCTCAGTGCTCTGAACCTGCAAAACCTAGGATACCCAGCACATGATTATTATACAAAAACTAAGATATCTAGGTGGACAAGAGCAATAACTTTAGGCACCAGCCACCAGGCTCCTTTAGAGCACAAGCCTGTTCATGTTATCATCTGATTAAGTAAAGTCAATTTATCACCTTAAAAGGATTGAAAAAACTGAAATTATGAATGTATGAATTTCATATACCGTAGAATCCCGGTTATAAGCCCTGGGCTTATACAATTTCATAAGGGTTTTTGGGTGGGCCTATAATCGGGGGGGCTTATAACCCGGGGGGCTTATAATAGGGAGGAAAAAAACGTCTAAAATCCGTTCTATTAAAATGAAAATTTTAATCATGTCTACTTTCAATTGCAACAATAACGGATTGTCAATGTGTGATTGTCAATGTGCTACGGGGCTGCTGGGCCCAGAGTCATACTGACATGGCAGGAAATAATCACATTCACGGACAAAGAAACTTGCATGCATGCATGTAGTTATTCAGATACAGCCATTTCGGAGAAAACCAAAAAAACTAAAATCTTTATTCAGCCGTAATAAACAGAGGTCAAAGGATGTAAAACACTTAACAACTGCATCTGAAATCAAATCCTGTCAGGGACACCTAGTACAGAAGCATAAACCACAGGAAATGATTACTCAGTATGCATGTAACAAACCTGCTTCATGACCTCTAAATATAAGACTTAGTGCGGCAAAAACAAGATTTACTCAGTGTAGTGCTAGTAACCTTCGCGCGAGAGAAAAAAGAAAGAGAACCACTGTTCAAGCAGACTCTCAAGGTCACGTTTCACATCATCACGAGCTTATGAGTCGTGTTTGGCCTGTCAACGCTTATTTCTTACTAGGAAATTTCTATTAGCAGAGAGGTGGGCTTATAATCGGGTGGGCTTATAACCGGGGGGGCTTATAACCGGGAGGAAATTTCTATTAGCAGAGAGGTGGGCTTATAATCGGGGGCTTATAACCGGGGGGGGCTTATAACCGGGATTCTACGGTATTTGTACTGCGGGATAAAGAAACAAATGCAGAAATGATCATCACAGTTAAATATGCCGCTTATGCAGTTGGCCTGAAAAAATTCAGGCTTGCTGAGATTCAAACTCTGGCCTCTGCGATACTGGTGCAGTGCTCTAATCAATTGAACTAGCAAGTTAACTGGTATTATGTAATATACCCGGGAAAGAAGAATGTATGAATTTCTTATATGTGAACTCTGGGATGAAGAAATAAACAAATTTGAATCCAAGCAAGCCTTAACTTTTTCAGGGTTTCTCTTTTTTTTGCGTATTTAACTGTGATGATCATTTCTTCATTTATCACACTATCCAATGGATAGAGATTTATCCAGTGGATAGTGTTATATACCTTTTCAACAACTACAGCCAAGAGCTATTGGTCATGCTCTAGGAAATGCCACATTTCAGATTCTTTACAAACCACCCAATGGACTGTAGTCATATATTCTTAAGTCTGGCAAAAAATTTTTTAAGGTTTTTTTATACTTTCATTTTCAGTGTGCATGGAACACTGGACTCCGTGGATCAAGTAGGTGCCCCTTGTTACACTAAGGAAACCAAGTTCTGTTGTCTTTGAAACTGAAACTGTCATTCATTATACATTTAACACAGTACCCATTAGTGTCTGTTCTGTGCCTGTTTGGACAAAGAGATGGTGTTTATAGTCCTGTCTCTCATTCCAGAATAATAATGTGAATCTTTAGAAAGCTATTTCATAATCTCACAGTTTATTCTAATCATTTTGAACTTGATAATGGTATCATACATAATGACTCCAAAACATCACTCATTTTTAGCATTAATTTTTTCATGCTTATGCATTACTAAACCTCTACTGATCAATTAATTTAAACCTTTCTTTTTATTATTTTATTTTTGTCCAGTTTCTGAACATCAAACTCACCGACATAAGTCTGACAGACCCAGACAAATACCCTCATATGGTAAGGCCTATTAACAAAGTGATGATTGATTTTATTAATACATCATGTTTGTGTGAGATTTGCAGGAGTAGTAACCAGTTTTCTGGCTTGGTAGTAAGTACTTAACAATAATTTAATGGTCTGTAAATGCCCCCTAAAAAGGAGAAAGGGTTATAGTAGATCGCTGTTACCTCAGTTTGTGTGCCTCTGAAGCCACAGGAAAGCTGAGATTAGGGTGCATTCTTTCCTTGAGTATAAATAATATATCCGGGCTGTAGTCAAGGGCTTAGGACAGGGGATCTTGTCTGGACATTACAAAACTAATGTGAGTCCCAGATACTATAGTAGAAATGCAGTACACTGGCAGCACAAGAATTATCAAACCCCCTTGAGGCTGCTTTCTCTTTTTACTGCCTAGGGTATTAATTTTGTAGCTTGTGTTGCAGATTTAATCTAACTCTGTTTAGTAATGCCTGTAAAGCAGCAGTCCCCAGCGAACTCAGTGAATTGCCAGAAATGCCTTTCGAATCTTCCTTCAACCTGTTTGGCAAATTGACAATGGCATTTTAAACGTGCAAATCATGGCATTTACTCAAATCCTGGTATGCAGGTGGGGGTCCAGAACAATGATTTTGGCACCGTTTCGCCAACGTACTTAAACAGAAGTTTAGTTCCATCCGTGGGGCAGACTAGCAGCACTGTCATTAACCCTTTAGGTTCCAAGAATGACCAACATCAATTTTCTCCTAACAACGTCTGCAGACTATCAAGAGTAAAGGTTATGAGAATTACTAAATTGATTACCAAAGGGAGAATGCTTTGATCTTAAACCAAATTCTCTCAACTGTTCTTAAAAGAAATGTATAGAGATCAGTCTGGAGAATTTTTATGTGCATAACGGGACTTAAAGGGTTAAGAGGCGACAGCCGAGGATTTCCCCCAGCTACTATGAACGTGGCCCTCAGCTACTTTCCCTGCCTACTTGTTGTATTTACCCAGCAACTTGAAATCTTAGTGGCATCCCCGCATTCCTGTACATCATAAAATTATTGAAAGTATTACTAAACAGATATTTTTTGCTACCCTTACCTATTTTGACTTAGTTTAGACATGTATGAATTGTTGTTGCTAACCTGACTGTGTTCATGACTTTTATCAACAGTTGTCTGTAAAGAATTGCTTTATCAGAGGATCAGTTGTAAGATATGTTCAGCTGCCAGCAGAAGAAGTTGATACTTCACTACTACAGGATGCAACAAGAAAAGAGGCAGCTCAAAACAAAGCCTAAAAACTATGAACCCATAAATAAACATATCTGTAATATACATCCCAACCTGCTGTGCCTTTGCAACACATGCAACTCCCCAGTTCAAAGCACGGTTTAGGTTGACATTTTTTATGCTGCTGTCAATCTTACAAAGGCAACAAACATGGAAATGGTGACTGAAAAAAATTGATGAAAATCTACCAAAAACAGTTCACAAACACCTCCTTGCAACTGTTGGTGTCAATGTCTCAGTGAAGTGACTTTATATGACTGTTTCCAGAGTTTTGTCCTCAAATAATTTATTTCAGCAGTCAAAAACAAAACATATTGGCTGAGTTTGGCACCTTATTGTATAAATGGAATCTAGAGGCTTTGACAAATTCAACTTTAATGCAGTTTTCTGGCTAAACTTTTTTTATTACTTATTGTTCTCTAAGTACACTCATCACATCAGGTACAATCAAAAGTTTTCTTTACCAGGAAGAGAGGGTCAAATGAGGTCTAAAGTTTATACAATAAAGGCCTGAAGAATACTGATTAATTTTGGTACTCTCTTAAAATACAAGGTTATCCTCACCACCAGCTAGAATTACCATATATCGTAAGATATTGCAATTTAAGCTAAAGAACAAGACTCCTTGGTAGCCTGAAAAACAGCAAACATTCCGCAATGCCACCATTGGATTCCCCATAAAATGACAAATTCCATACTGCTGACGTTTCACTACCCTGGTCCCAGTTGTTTAAAAGGTAGATAATTCTATCCACTAGATAAATCTCTATCCAGTGGATAGCACAATTGTTTTCCCTAATATTTATCTGCTGGATCCAGTGGGTAGCGCTATCCAACATCTTAACTACTGGGGCTTGATCTGGATAGTGTCGTATCGTCAGTGTGGACTTTCTGTGCTTATTTCTCGGATGCCATTTCACGGATAACCTGTTGTGGCATCGCAAAATGTTGGCTGCTGTCTCGGGCTCTTTCTCTTTCAGCACTTAAAATTTCAGATTGGACCTTCACCCCTCTTACTTGTTTGGAGGATACTTGAATGTATCCTGTGGGATGCACACTTTACATTTTATAGTAGATCCAATGCAATGAACACACTGAAATACAAAGCAAACTTAAATTACTGTACACCAGTGACCAAGGAAACAGATTTCATCTCAACATTATTTTAGAGACTTAAGTAAAACAGATGTATGAGTAAGATGTTTAGTTGATGCTTCTTCTGTGGTTTTCATGTGTATCATCTACTACTAGGCCCCAAGCATACAATGTAAAAGTAAATAGCTGGTCTTCTGTACTGATATAATTCCCATCCAGCACAAGACAGCCTTGAGTTTTTGTAATTGAAAGGAATAATATGTTTCAGGGGAAAATAAACATGTTCACTGTGCCTTATCTGTGGCCTGGGAGAGCCAAAATAGTTTTTAAAATGCTTTTGTTTATGAACTTTTTCAATAAAAAGTACTGCAGAACAAGTTTTAATTTGATACACTTTAAACTTTTGTTTTTTTCTCTCCTTGATTTGTAATGGAATGTGAACTTCTATTACTGCAGCCTAGACTCTTGCCTGCATGACTGGCGCGTTTTGAGCCAAGCAAGGAGAACGCGGCATTTCGCGCGAACCGCGAGGCCCGCACGAGCCACCCTCGTCTCGCGGTTTGCGCAAAATGCTGCGCTTGGCTCATAACTGACTTGCAGTGCAGTAGCCTGCGTGGCAGGCGTTTGAAAGGGAACGGAAAGGGAGTTTTAGGTGCGGGAGAAACGCCAGAGGCGCGCGAGGAGGGAGGGAGGGAAACGCCTGCCAGGAGACCCTTAGCCTGCGTAGCAAGCGTTTCCGTGCGGTTTGGGAGCAAAGAACGAGGAACGAGAGTCAAACACCGCGCGAAAAATGGCTTAAGTAAAAGAGCAGGGAGGGGGTTTCATTTTTCGCGCGGCCAAACCCGAGAATCCCGTTCCTCGGTCTTCCTTTGCTCCGAAACCAAACGGAAACGCTTGCTACGCAGGCTAGGAGACCATTGTTTTTCCGGTTTTTAACATCCACCAGGCGAATGTTAAAATCCTGATTGGTCCGTCTCCTGGCAGGCGTTTCCCTCCCTGCCTTTCTCCTCGCGCGCTTCTCGCGTTTCCCTCGCGCCCCAAACCCCCTTTCCCTTCCCTTTCAAACGCCTGCCACGCAGGCTAGCGGTGCAGCCGAACTACGTATAGTCCACTATCGAACTGAAGGTTTAAAGTGTCTGCGGCTCAGGCTACTCAAAACGCGCTACCTACACGCAGGAAATACCGTGCACATCTCCCATAATACACCTTGTCAGGAGATTTGATGGGCTCCTGACCTTGTTTGCCCCACAAATTGTTTTTCATTTGGGTATTACAGCCGTCCCAAGAGTAGCCTGTACACAGACGTTGTTTTATTTTTCTTTTCGATCTTCTCGAAAACATCGGCGAGATCGCGAGCATGTGAGAACGAGAAAGAACTTCCCCCACGCCTACCCCCTGCGCTGGCGGTCAGTAAATATTTTATCACGAGCGCTCGACTATACTACGAGTAGTCCCTATTTTTCCTCAGGGCCCAGTATGGCGAGCGTAACGCGCGTGAAAACTACCCCACGCGACGGGGAGAGAGAAAAATGAGTTGGATGTCTGAAGGCGTTTAAATCTACAGACGTTATAGAATTTCATTGCGGCGGTAATGGGTTACCCTGGGTGCCAGAGACTTTTCTAGCGCGGTTTCCGGTTTCTGTCAAGTCTTTATAGCGACCCGCCACTCGTGGCTTCGGTCTACGGCCGAAGATGTGTCGGCCTTCGGCCAACACCGAAAATTCCCGCCGCACGCGAGAAAAACCTCTGGTACCCAGGGTAGTAATGGGTAAAATAATGACAGAATTGGTTATGAAGTTTACTACATTTGGTGGCTCCTAAAAGAGCCGTTTGTTTTGGCGGTAAACCCACAAAGTGAGTTTACTTGCTGCTGGTGTACTTCGTCACAGCTTTGGTTCCTTCACTGACAGCATGTTTGGCCAGTTCACCGGGCAGAAGCAGCCTGATGGCGGTCTGGATCTCGCGAGAACTGATAGTTGATTTCTTGTTGTAGTGAGCAAGGCGCGAAGCTTCAGTAGCGATGCGCTCGAAGATGTCGTTGACAAACGAGTTCATGATGCCCATGGCTTTGCTGGAGATACCAGTGTCAGGGTGAACTTGCTTCAACACTTTGTAGATGTAGATTGCATAGCTTTCCTTTCTCTTTCCCCTCCTCTTCTTCTTTCCATCAGATGGGGCCTTGGCCTTGCCAGCTCTCTTCTCGCCTTTCTTTCCTGCAACTTTGGGTGCCATATCTGTTGATCAGAATGGAAGTGAATGATTCACACATGCTGAATATTGTATTTATAACAAAACCAGCAGGGGATCAATTAACATACGGATCGAAATCTTTGAGTTTTCATTGGTTTCTCTTGTTTAAGGTCAACAAGCTTCTTGCATACATCATCATATTTCATTATCCACTTAAATTTTTTAGCCTGATTGGTGCGTTTTGATCCTATTCAAATTTTTCCGCGCGTATAAATTTCATGGCTTTCAAGGAACTTTAAGTATTTCACTAGCTCTATTACGTGCTTAACATAAGTCTTGTAAACATGTCTGGTCGCGGTAAAGGAAAGGCGAAGGGCACCAAGTCTAAGAGCCGATCATCCCGAGCAGGGCTTCAGTTCCCTGTTGGTCGTATCCATCGTCTTCTTCGTAAAGGCAACTATGCTGAGCGTGTTGGCGCTGGTGCTCCAGTCTACTTGGCTGCAGTGCTCGAGTATTTGAGCGCTGAGATCCTCGAGTTGGCGGGTAACGCCGCTCGTGACAACAAGAAGACCAGAATAATTCCCCGTCATCTTCAGCTTGCTGTCCGCAACGATGAAGAGTTGAACAAGCTGCTCGCCGGCGTCACCATCGCACAAGGAGGTGTTCTTCCCAACATCCAGGCTGTTCTTCTACCCAAGAAGACAGAGAAGAAGCCAAAAGCTTAAACAGTTCCCGGCGTCAAAAACAAACGGCTCTTTTAGGAGCCACCAAATATGATAAAAGTCATGATCAACAGAGTTACTTTCCACAGTATCATGCACGGGTGTTGCAATTTATTTTTTTACAATCTTTCTTTTAAGACACACAGGTTCAATATGATTTTACATCGCTGACGGCAAAAGAGCTACCGAGTAGTGGTTCGATGATACACAAATTTTAAGTAACTTTTTATCCCTGAAATTAGCTAAACCACAGGCCATCAGAATCGGTACGAGAAATGCCACTTACATTTTCCAAAATACTGTGAGAGAGGGTTTATGTGGTGGAACTACATTCAAACCCCGCACGAAGCAAGAGCCGAAAAATGCGTCTGCTCCGGCTATATACGCTTCATTCGGACACCTCATTATAACGGACAGTTTGCCTTGTCCCTGGGGAAAGAAAGCTCATTTTAAACATTTTCTCTTATTAAAAATCAATCCGCTATATATTTACGGACACTTTCTATGGCCCACTCTGTGTCCGTATTAACGGGGTTTGACTTAGCCTCCGTGACAGGCGTTCGAAAGGGAAGTGAATTTCGGGCGCGCAGGAAGCGCGCCATCTTCCCTTTCCTAACGGTACCATTTCTTTTTTTTAATCAGAACTAGACTGCAAAACAGTCCGTATTTTTGCGTATTCAAGTACGCGCGAGCAGTCAAACAAAAGGTCTGGAACGAAGCTGAAAACAGAGAGCGAGACTGGGGAGAGACGGGCGTGTGAGGCTCTTACGCCACGCTTTACCGATTTCTTTACTGATTTTGAGAAAAAAACCGACTGTTTTGCAGTCTAAATCAGAACCTGCGAATACAGCCGTTTCTCCTAGCTCCTCGGGGCAAGGGACGTTTCCTCCTGGCGAAGGAATGTTGAAAGCAGAACGCTCCTGCCTCGACGCAATTTTCAAAATTCATTTGACCGTTAAAACCGCGCGAATATTTTAACGTCTATTCCTCTTCCAAAATTACATTCTCATATGTTAGCTTATTTGCAGGTCACAAGGCGAATTACGAACTTCTGAAACTAGATCTTCCAGCTAAAGCCAAAGTTAGGCTTTCACTACTGCAAGCCGATCTGTATTGTATTCTTCTATAATTTAATCCCGCAAACAAATTTGAGTTTGATAGGACAAAACTTTATTGGCAATGACTTTTAAAGATGTGGTGGCTCCTAAAAGAGCCGTTGGTTTGAGAGTGTAGCGTGAAGATTTAACCGCCAAATCCGTAGAGAGTACGTCCCTGACGTTTGAGTGCGTACACCACGTCCATGGCGGTGACAGTCTTGCGCTTGGCGTGCTCGGTGTAGGTCACAGCATCACGGATTACATTCTCTAGGAAAACCTTGAGAACACCACGAGTCTCTTCGTAGATTAGACCAGAGATTCGCTTGACACCGCCACGGCGTGCAAGACGACGGATAGCTGGCT